TTTTTTTGAGACAGAGTCTCGCTCTGTCACCCAGGCTGGAGTGCAGTGGTGTGATCTTCGCTCACTGCAACCTCTACCTCTGCCTCCTGGATTCCAGTGATTCTCCTGCCTCAGCCTCCTGAGTAGCTGGGATTACAGGTACGTGCCACCATGCCTGACTAATTTTTGTAGTTTTAGTAGAGACAGGGTTTTGCCATGTTGGCCAGGGTGGTCTCAAACTCCTGACCTTAAGTGATCCACTCGCTTTGGCCTCCCAAAGTGCTGGGATTACAGGCATAAGCCACTGTGCCCGGCCAATAAATATGTGTTTTCTCGTTAAAATAGGAACTAAAACTAAAAAAGAGAGGTTAATATTCAGTGCTTGCAAAGATGCAGAGAAATGGCACTTCTCCATTGCTGGTGGGAGTGTGAATTAGTACAATCTATTTAAAAAGTAATCGGACAATGTCTATTAATACTAAAACAAATATTTTGACTTATTCAGGTAACTGTTGGGAATCTATCTTATAGCAATAAAAGCACCGTATGATATGTGTACTTTGATGCTTAAAGTAGGATTGTTTAAGTTGACAAAAATCTGGAAACAACAGAAAAAATACAGAACTGATTTAATACATTATGTTATTCATACTTGGAATATTACGTAGCTGTTGAGAAGCAGACTTGGACGGATGTCCATGAAGTATTTGTTGAGAAAAGCGAGTTTCAGAATAGTTTATTGGCACACTATATTCTCATTTCACCGTAGGGATATATGTTTGAATATGCTTGGATATGAAAAAGAATGTGGAAAGATACAAACCACGGCAGTTCACATTGGTTATCTCAGGCAGGAGGAGGAGGTGGTGGGGGGACATTCTCAACTCTTTCTTTATACGTCTTTGGATAATTTCCGCTTATTACCATTACCTTAGAGGTCACTATTTTTGATTAAAAATATTCTTAGAGTTCATGGAAGCCCTAATCTGAAGAAATATTCAGGCAAGAAAAGAATTAAACAGAGAGTCTCTCGGTCTCAGAGACAAGTACTGGGAAGGTGTTTTGCTTTCGCTGTGAGCATCATCTCTGATTTAAAAGGGTTAAGTCAAACATGGCTATTTCAGTTCATGTTCCCATTTCAAAATATTGCCCTTCGAATCTTTCTAGGCTGGGGGTTTGCTGAAAGGCTTGTTAAAGCCAGCAGGATAATAACTGCCAGTAAGGAAAGTAAAGACCACTCACCAGGCTGTGCCAACCGTAAGAATTGCCACTGCAGTCTCAAGTGTCATGGAGAGAAGGCTTGTGCCATTAATTCTGCTGTTGCTAAGAATCCTTGAGCTAGAAAGACATGCTGTCTTTATTTAAGCCTCAGTTTCTCTTGTTTAACAAGCGTGGATTCTAATATTCTATCCAAAAAGGTGTTCTACTCTTAAATTGGATTTGAAACACATGTGCTAGTAAATATATCTGTATTCTTAACAGTCTGGTTACAAGGACAGCGATGAGAAAACAAATACCCTGTTTAATTATTTAGGTCAGTGACTTCCCAAGTTTCCTTAGTTTTGACATGGCCCAAACTAAGAAATACATTTTACATTGTAATCTGGAATATACAAAAGTTTCAGGAAATGACACCTTTATAAGTGGTGTGATGCCTTAACATAGGTTCTGTTCTATTTTTTATTTTTTATAAGAACATGCTGGTTGTGATCGCTACGTTAGTTCCAGGACTCGCTGATGAGTCACGGTCTGCAGTGTAAGAAACACTGCTTTGGGTCATGCATGTGGCAAATTACATTATGAAGGTAGAGGACAACTGGCAGAGCATCATAGTTGGGTTTTGCTTGTTCTGGAAAGTCTGCAGAAAAAATTGTTTCTCTCCTACTTCCTCTTCACTTCTTTTCTTCAGCACCCATCTCATTGACTGACATAGTGGGTTTTGTTATGGGATCTTGCTCTGTCACCCAGGTTGGAGCACAGTGGTGCCATCATAGCTCACTGCAGCCCCACCTACTGGGCTCAAGCGATCTTCCCACCTCAGCCTCCCAAGTAGCTAGGGACTACAGGTGTGAGCCACCACACCGGCCTCAACTGCCGTGGTGTTTTTGAATAGCCCTGAGGACAAGCCCTCAGTGAGGCCTATTGGGATCTGCCCTGTACAGTCCTAAAAGGGAAAAGATTCCCGAGGCAGACGTATTCCTCTGGTATGTGAATACTTTAGCTGGGATTGGGTAGAGCAAGGACTGAAGAAATTATTTTTTGCCAAGATTTGCCAATAAGGTCACATGCCCCAGGACACTTGGGTGACCCTCGCTTCTCATTGTGTAAGTATCCCTAGGAAACTGTAGAGAACTGCAATGGAATTTTTCATGAGTATTCCTTGGAACATTATTTCTCCACCTCCCCACACCCTGAGCAAACCAGCAATCTCCAAATTAGCAGTGAGGAACGCCTGCAGTTCTTGCAGTAAGGATGGAGGGGAAATCATCCACGGACTGCATTTCTGCTCTTAATTGCTCTTGCTCCGCCTTCCTCTTAAAAACATAATTGATTGGGGTGAAATTTTATTGCTCCTTTAAGAGAAGCTTCACTGTAAAGGATGGTACAGTAGTGTTGACTCTGTCGTCACCCCCACCTCAGGCATTTTCTGGTATCTGTTGCCAGATTTTACACAAACCAGGGGGATTCATGCTGGTGCCAATGTCAGTGGCCGCATCCCTCTGGCCGCATGGGGGAGCCAGAGGTTAGCAGGTGACCCGACCTGGGCTTGAGCCCTTCAGTGGGATTTTCACAACGCAGCAGGGAGAAGGGAAACCCTTTCTTTCCTCTGGGGTCTTTAAGCTGTGATAAAAATGTGAGTGGAGTTGACATCTCCCGCTGCACAGGAAGGTTTCTGAAGCAGAAGAAAATGAGACTAGTATATTGAGAGCAAAGAGTCAAGAGTTAGAGTTCTCATGGCGTGTGTACCCGGATGCAGGGGCCCTTGAGGCTGGACCCCGCTCCCGTTTTTTGTTTTGCCTAGGTTAGTTTCAGATGGGCTGGTAGAACTTGCAACAGAAAGAGCTCCGACTGCGGGAGCCACAGTCCCCCTGGAGTTCTAGAAGTTGCTCCTCCGGTCACACAATGAGCAAACGAAATAGTCAAGGGAGACCATCATCCACCTTAGAGCTTGCTGGAGAAGTAGGGTAGCTAAAAACGGAGGTCTGGTTATGCCCTTTTACTTAAACCAAGTTTCTTTTTTGGTAGCATGAGTTTGATAATTTTTTTTAATTCTTCGTAGGACAGTTGTGAGGCTAAGCAATTCAAAATGTATAAAAAGGACAAAAACGACTAGGTGTGGTGGCTCACGCCTGTAATCCTAGCATTTTGGGAGGCCGAGGCAGGCAGATCACCTGAGGTCGGGAGTTCGAGACCAGCCTGACCAACATGGAGAAACCCTGTCTGTACTAAAAATACAAAGTTAGGCGTGGTGGCGGGCTCCTGTAATCGCAACTACTTGGGAGGCTGAGGCAGGAGAATCACTTGAACCCGGAAGGTGGAGGTTGCAGTGAGCCGAGATCATGCCATTGCACTCCAGCCCAGGCAACAAGAGTGAAACTCCATCTCAAAAAAAAAAAAAAAAAAAAAAGACAAAAACCTAAGTGTATGGTATAATTGTGAAGTATTAGTTGATGGCAATTAAGTGTTTTCTTTTCCCTCCTCCATACCATACATGCTGAGAAGATGTTGTTCTTCAAATATGAAGATAATTATACAAGATAATGCCACTCGAAGGGAAAAATTTCCAGGAACAGTAGCTAATGTCTACTGAGTGCTAACTATGTATCAAGTGATTTTTACCTGCATTACTTTATTTAATCTTTATGATAATTACATGCCACTTTAATAATGTAGAGAAGGGAGCTGAGGCTAACAGCAGTGGTTTTCAGTACAGGGCAATTCCCCAGCCCCACACCCTTAGGGGACGTGTGGCAATGTCTGAAGATGCTTTTAATTCTCACGACAGGGGGATGGGAGATGCTACCATTATATAGTGGCTAGAGGTGGGGGTGCTGCTAAACATCTTCCAAAGCACGGGCAGCCCTCACAACAAAGAATTATCCGGCCCCAAATGTCAATAGTGCTGAGGCTGAGAAACCCTGGCTTGCAGAGAACCCAGCCAACCTGGCTAAGGAATTCACACTCTTTCCTTTTTCTTTTCCTTTTCTTTCGTTTCTTTTGAGACAGGCTAGAGTGTAGTGGGGCAATCACAGCTCACTGCAGCCTCGATCTCCTGGCGCAAGGGGTTTTTCCACCATAGTGTCCTGAGTAGCTGGGACCACAGGCATGCCTCACCATGCCCAGCTAATTAAAAAAAATTATTTGTAAGAACGAAGTCTCACTGTGTTGGTCAGGCTGGTCTCAAACTCCGGGACTCGAGTGATCCTCCTGCTTCAGCCTCCCAAAGTGCTGGGATTACAGGCATGTGCTACTGCACTCAGCCTCACACTTTTTTTTTTCTTTTTTTCCATTTGGGAAGTCATTTCAAAACTGATTTATTAAAAGAATATCATGCTTTTTCCACTTGGGGCCAGCATTTAGCAAAATTCAGAAAGGAGAAATTTTTTTCTTTGATATTCCTCCTCTTGTTCCTTTTTAATGCTCTGTTCTGGAGTGGTCTCCTTTGTCCGTAACTTGTAGTTCTACAGCCTTGGTACTTAGAAGAATAGATCCCACCTCATTCCTTCTACCCTGCTTCCAAGTGCTCTTAAAATGTACTCATCCATCTCCCAGCACTTAGGGAATCTGAAAAAAATAATCCATGCTCACAGGAGAAGGCTACAGGGCTTTAGGTCCTTTTACCTTCTTAGCCGAGCCTCCCAGTCAAATAATAATAATGCCTCCAAGCAGACAGGATCTAAAGTATCAGCTAAATGTTCAGTCTTAAATGAGGAGACTGAAGACATCACAAACAGCTTGGTGGGGGCTTGGAGGTGGTATTTTGGGACAGAAAGAGAGAAACATACACTTTTAACACCTATGCGATATTGTCTCCACTGAGGGTGCACACACAGACACACACACTTCACTCGCACCCACATATGCACACACATACACACACCACAGGTGCACACACACCCCGAAGGTGGGTTCAGGTGTTCAGCATTATTGTTCTTCCAGTTTCTCAGTTTCTAGGATGCTGCTAATTAAAGCATGGCAGGGACTGGTTTTTGTCCCATGAATCCAGAGGAGGTGCCTGTATGACTGCCCTAAGGTTTCACCTTGGAGCTTCTGCAGTCAACAAAGCATGCTAAGGCTTTAACGTTTTACCATCATTGTGCAGTGCAAGAGAAGCTTGTCAGCCTACGACGTCTTCTTGAAGTCTGTGCCACTGACCTTGTTCCAGATGAGGACAGGTGTCGGGATTCCGATGACCTCACAGCTCAAGTACACCTGGGCACCAGTGACATTCCAGATGTCCTTGGGGGGCGTCACTATGGAAGGACCTGCAGGAGAGGGCACAAAGCCAAAGTCGTCTTTTAAATAGCCCTTCACATGAGTCAGCATCTTAGGGAGAAAATAATAATTGTGTTTATGAAGCCGTCCCCTTGGTGGATTATCTGAAGCAAATTTCAAGACTACACTGGCTTCCTCCTGCCACCAGCATGATTTTAAGGTCCACTTTGGAAATGCATAAATCTAAACAAACAAAAACAATTAGGAAGAAAAATTTGTTATGAAAATTTTCTTCTTCCCCAGACCATGCTTAAATGAGTGCTAATTTACCAGCTGTTTTTTTATTATCTGGGACTTTTCCAGTAATAATAAAATTTTAGTTCCAAAATGTTCAGTGTTTTTCTTCTTTTGTTTACTGCTATTTCTATTTTGGTTGGAAAGGCAACAAGCAACCGCTCCGTGGGTAATGGAGAAAAACACCTAAGAGAATATTTGAAAATGTGCTGAGCACCCAGACAAGATGGAAGTCTCTGCCTCAAGAAGCTCAGGATCTAAGGTTGAAATGGGTGATGAGACAGGGAAGAAAAGGAGTGCTGTGTGCCTTAGGGGATTGTAAGGGACATCTTTATTTTTAATTTAATTTTATTATTATTATTTTTTGCCACAGAATCTCGTTCTTCCACCCAGGCTGGAGTGCAGTGGCTTGTTCACAGTTCACTGCAGCCTCAAACTCCTGGTCTCCAACGATCCTCCCACCTCAACCTCCCGAGTAGCTGGGACTATAGGCATGCACTACCATGCCAGTTCATTTTTAATTTTGTTTTGTAGAGACAGGGTCTTGCTATGTTGCTCAGGCTGGTCCTGAATTCCTGGCTTCAAGTAATTCTCCTGCCTCAGCCTCCCCAAATGCTGGGATTATAGGTGTGAGCCACCATGCCTTGCCGGAAGGCACCTTTGAACAGAAGAGGCCCGGGTGTCGAGGAAGGTGGTACAAGGGTCCTTCTCCCAGTGTGGTCAGGTGAGGCAGCTGGTAAGAAGGAAGAAGAGTGACTGATCTACTGGGTGTGACCAGGGTCCCCAAGGAGAGGGCCCTTTCCCAGGGTTCTCAGTGTGCAGGTCCCTAGCAGGAGGCATTGGCAAGTGGGGGGCACCCTCGAGCCACCGCCTAAATAGAGTCAGCAGGTATGGGACCACTGAGAGACGCCAGAGTGATGCTCTTCCATTCCCACAATTAGGGAACACACTCACCACCTTCTGTATCATGGCACCCTTTGGAGAAGGTCCCTACTCAGAGTCAACACAAACCATGTGCATCCTTTTTGCTGTGAAAGTGGTGGGACTCTCTGGTCCTGGGTTAGCTAACTACGGCCTGCGGGCCAAATCTGGCCTGCCATCTGTTTTTGCATGGCCTGTGAGCTAAGAATGGTGTTTGCATTTTTATTTTTTTTAATTAAGAAAAATTTTATTTTTTGAGACAGGATCTCAGTCTGTTGCTCAGGCTGGAGTGCAGTGGCATGATCTTGGCTCACGGCAACCTTCACCTCCCAGGTTCAAGCTCAAGCGATTCCCATGCCTCAGCCTCCCAAGTAGCTGGGACTACCCGTGCATGCCCAGCTAATTTTTGTATTTTCAGTAGAAACAGGGTTTTGCCATGTTGGCCAGGCTGGTCTTGAACCCCTGAGCTCAAGCGATCCTCCCGCCTTGGCCTCCCAAAGCGTTGGGATTACAGGCCTGAGCCACTGTGCCCGGCCTGCATTTTTAAATGGTTGAAAAAAAAAAAATTAAAAGATGGATATTTCACAAAGTGTGAAAATTGTAAGGAAATGTCCATAAAATAAAGTTCTGTTGGAACACAGCCACACTTATTTGTTTCCTGCTGTCTCTGGCTGCCAGAGCAGTTGTGGCTGAGACTGCATGGCCTGAAAGTATTCACTGTCACTGGCCTTTTATTAAGAAATTTGCTGATTCCTGCTCTAATCAACTGAGGGAGACTGATGCCTAAATAAGACATTATGGGAAAGCCTCAGGACTTCAATCCTTTACACATTTTCCAGAGCTGATGCAAGTAACCCCCCTGGGTGATTTCTGGTTCGGCTCTGAAACACAACACTGTGGAAGCTAACAGATACCGAGAGAGCGGGTGCTGCTGACTGCGCCTGTCCGCTGATGGCCTGGTTTCCCGGCATCTGCAGGAGAGAGGTGCACACCTACTTTTTATTTACTGGTAATTAGTATGTCACTTCTGCTCATTCTAAATGCCAGGGTTCAGCCACCAGGGGGCTTCAGAAGGACTCGGGACTGTCTGCAGAGGATGGTCACGGAGCTGGCAGCCTGAGTTCCTCATGTGGGGCAGTGTGAGACTCCAGCACCGAACCTCGCCCCTATTCCAGGCTCAGCATGGTTTCTTGAATGAATAAATTAATGACCCCTTCCGAATTTTAAATCTCTGTTGACTTGGGTCTCCTAGCCTAGCAAAATAGCAAACTGCAGGGTCATCTTGCATCAGAGTCCTGGGAAAGGGACAACCTCCCCTTTAGGGCTGGAAAGTTTTCTGGCATAATCAGCATTCAAAGGACATGAAGTCTCTCCTTTTGCAACAGGCTATTTCCAGCACAATATTAATTTCTTGAAACAGAAAGGAAATGACCCCAGTGTGCAAGATTTTCCCACTCATCTAAAGCATTAGAAGCTGATTTTTTTTTTAATCTCATGGGATATTTTTATTTTTTCCCTTTGTAGGAATGTGCCAAACAATCAAAGTTTGGAAAGCTCTAAATACATTTCGTGCTTCCTTCCCTCCAAACCATAGGTCTGAATAGGAAGCATATATCCTGGCCAGGGGGCTTGGCTCTTCTGCTGCAAACATGAATGTGGTGAGCACAGTGGTGCAGTATTTATGTTTCTGGCTCTGTCTCAGACATTTCCTAGTCTGGATGCAGCAATACAGCACCCTGCAAAGGGCTGGGCCTCACCCTATCCCAGGCTTCCTCTAGGGCTCTGGGACCCCAAGGGCTTGGACACCACAGAGCCGGATCTGGCTGTGCTTTGAACTGCCTTCGCCCACCTCTCCAACGGCCCTCATGCTGCTCTGTTCTCCTTCCCACACACAGACTTGGCAGGAGGACTTCAAAGCTCAGGGGATCTCAAAGGATTGTTCTGAGAAGAACACACCAGTGTTCAGAGATCTGGGGGGAGCTCGGGAACAAAGCTGCTTCTCACAGATCCAAATCACACAAGGAATGCAAGACAATCTTATTGTGAGGATCTGAGGGCCTCAGCCCTGCCAAAACCTACTTACTTGAACCATGTTCATCTCCCTATTGCCCGTACAGGTAGGAGGGTCATCAGTCTTGGGCAGGGGGCAGATTCTGGAGGGCTAACGGACGGGTTCCAGACTGATTTTCTGCCAGAGATCTTGAAGACATGCTATGGATTTTTCCCATGGGATTTAAAAACAGATGTTCTTAGTTTTAGTATAGTCCAATTTATCAAGTTTTCTTTTCTATGGTTAGTGCTTTCTGTGTCCTGTTTAAGAAAATTTTTGCCTAGCCCAAGGCTATGAAGATCTCCTGTTTTTTTCTACAAGCTTTATGGTTTTACCTTTCACATTTAAGTTTTTGCTCCATCTTGAATTAATTTTTGTGTGTGCTATGAGGCAGAGGTCAAGGTTCATTTTTCCTCCCCTAAAAGGACATCCAATTACTTCAGCACCATTTGTTGAAAAGACCTTCTTTTTCCCAATGAATCATAATAATGCCTTTGTGGAAATCTACAAGACCCACTGCATATGTGTGGGTCTATTTCTGGACTCTCTATTTTTTTCCACTGGTCTATGTGTCTATCTCTGCACCAATAACTATGGCATAATTTAGAAATTATTTGTACTAAAATTGAAGCACTAAATAGAGGGCAGATATGATATATCTATTTTCCCCCAATCCTCTTACTATTCCAAGAAGCAAAACACTCTAGGACAAGCAAGGATTCTTTTTTTATTTTTATTTTTGTAGAGACAGTCTTGCTATGTTGACCAGGCTGGTCTCAAACTCCTGGGCTCAAGCAATCCTTTTACTTCGGCCTCCCAAAGTGCTGGGATTACAAGTGTTAGCAACAGTGCCCAGCCATGAATTCTTTAAAAATACCTGAACCCAGGAATACTTTGAATGACAGCCATCTTCACGGGATTCAATATTAGGACAAATCTTAGCATGGGTTCCTCTTTCTCCTCTCCCAGTGCTTGGAATACCTTAGGTAAATGGGCTGAGTCAACATTTGGATTATTCTAAGAATGTAAATGATTTTGTCAATCCTGCCACCAGGCTATGCCTAGAATTCTACAAGACTTCCATACTACAAAAATCTGTAATATTCACTGACTCCTGTTGGGGTGATGGAGTGGAAGGGCAGAGGAGGGGCTGTTAGGATTAGTTTGCTGCACAACACTTACAAAAACCCTTGGCTATTTCAAATATCCTTGAACAAATGCTGGGTTTACTAACACAATGAAAAGTTTAACAAACAATATGTAAACTGGAAAGTACTAACCTACAAGAACCGCCTTTTGGTTTGAGATACAATCTCTTGCAAAAGAAAGTCACATCAATAAATTATTAGTGTAATATTCAAGTGATCAACAGACCTCTTAGAGTAGGTGGAGGCAGGTTGGCCTCCACCTGACTTCCTGTGTTGCAAAAATCTGTCGGGATTCAACATTCTTCCCGGTACTTTGTTCAGAGCTGATACCCAGTAGGATTCCTATTTACTAAGCTGTGATTGGTTCTTTACCACTTACCTGGTCTGGAAATTCCCCCAGAATATGCATAGGGAATGGAAACATTCTTTTTTTTTTTTTGAGATGGAGTTTTGCTCTTGTTGCCCAGGGTGCAATGGTGTGATCTTGGCTCACTGCAACCTCCGCCTCCTGGGTTCAAGTGATCCTCCTGCCTCAGCCTCCCAAGTAGTGGGAATTACAGGTGCCTGCCACCATGCCTGGCTAATTTTTGTATTTTTAGTAGAGATGGGGTTTTGCCATGTTGGCTAGGCTGGTCTT